GGGCATCCTGTGCGGGTGTATTCAGACCACTTCAAGCAACTGGCTTAAAAGGAAGTCTAGCTCACTGGGGATCCAAAGTATCAGTAAGGGTGATAAAGCTTGCTTGAAAAAGCTCTCTCTAACTGGGGCTGGGGAAGCAATGTAAGCAGCAGGCTTCCTCCAGAAAGCAGCTTTCTGACTCCTCACCCTCTCACATACATTTCAATATGCAAAGACCCACTGTTTTGTTGTGTTTTTCCTGAGGTTTTACTATTGGCATTGCAAAAGCCTTTTCTTTCAGCATCTGCAAGACCCTGTTTGATGAAATCTATTTCTAGGTTTAAAGCCTTTGATACATCTCAAAGCAGACTTTGCCTTTAAAGTTTTCAACTCAACTTTTTTGTTTTTGTTTTTTCAAAATAAACTAAATACCAATGGATAACGTGGCTCTATAGTCAAGATTTTTAAAAAATGTATACACTGGGGGTGGGGCACGGTGGCTCATGCCTGTAATCTCAGTACTTTGGGAGGCCGAGGTAGGCCGATCACGAGGTCAACAGATCAAGACCATCCTGGCCAACATGGTGAAACCCAGTCTCTACTAAAAACTAAAAATTAGCTGGGTGGTGTCTGTAGTCCCAGCTACTTGGGAGGCTGAGGCAGGAGTATCACTTGAACCTGGGAGGCAGAGGTTGCACTGAGCCGAGATGGAGCCACTGCACTCCAGCCTGGCAACAGAGCCAGACTCCCTCTCAAAAAAAAAAAAAAGAAAAAGAAAACAAAAATGTATACACTAATGCCAACATGGTAACCACCACAGCTAACTTGCAGACATGCTAGGGTACGCTCTACTGGCTAGGAAGCGAAGGTTTATGTGGGTGAGACCCAATCAACCAACCTTAGGGAAGGAACTCAGGTTCATTTCCTAGTGAAATGGCAACAAATGACTGCTACTTCCTTCTCAAATATAATGTAAGGACATTTCCAAGTCGCTTCAGTCATTTCTTCCTCCTTCACCATACCATGTGCTTACAAAAGTATGCTGTAGGAGCAACTCAGTTCCTTTTTCCAGGCAAGGTTCCATTAAAAATGTCCCCAATAACCTAATTACATCAGACAATGAGCTTTCCTTCTTGTATGGTTTCTTCAGCAAAATATTTTTTAGTTAGAATTGCCAGATTTAGTTAATACAAATACAGGATGCCCTGTTAAATTTGAATTTCAGGTAGGTAACAATGTTTTACTCTAAGAATGCCCCACGCAATATTTGGCAACCCTATTTTTAACATTACATTGACTATATAGATATGAAATTGAATCTTAGCAGATTCTCTCCTAGTTTGGGGCTGGGTAAGTGGATAGGTGTGGAGCTAACGTCTGTTTTTCCGCCCGGAATCTTACTCGTTTTTCATTCCGCAGGGAACGTCTCGGGGCTTCTTGAACGTCTCTCAGCATTCACCGTACGCCCTCCTCCCCTTGCTTTTGCTGATAAAATGGTTTGTGTTGTGTTTAACGTGTTTATAAAGTCTCTCCGTAATAACATGAGCGTTTAAGAGAGAGAATTCGTGACACACCGCTTCCTCCCCTCCACAGTGCCGGGGCGTCTCTCTAGCCTCCGCCTCGGGGCGGGTTAGGAGGTGACACCTGAGAATCCTTCCCTCTCACCCCTGACCCAGCCGGAAAGGGAAACTGAGATGCGGGCAGTGGGCCCCTGGGAGGCCTGGGGAAGAGGAAGCAGAAAGCTGGAGCGCTTTTAGGTTCCTTCCAGTGCCACACTGCGGGGCGTTGAGGGGCCGAGCGAGGCAGGCCCTTCCCAGAGGCCTGGACAGGAGGCCTCTTCCAGGCGCTGGCCTGGCCCGCCTGCGGCCCTGCAGGGGCCGCGCGCCCGGACCCTAGGACCTCTTTGCCGGCTGGAGGCCCGGGGGACCGACTGCTCCGGGCGCCCAGGGTCGGGGGACGCCGGGAAACCTCGGCTCCCGGGCGGGAGGCGCTCAGGCCCGTCTCAGCGCCCCCCAGCCGCGGCCGCGCTGGGCCTCGCTTCAGCCGGGCGATTCTTCCCCTCATTTGTTGCATTGTTTGCATTAATATGAATATCTTGTTCTGTTTGTTTTGTCTCCTGAGAGCCAATAAAGCTGTGAGTTTTTTCTTTACACCAAATGCAGCTCTACGGGCGATCAATCAATGGGTAGTCTTCAGATAATCTGTGAGAGTGAGAAATCTAATAAAGCTAGCGACTAAAAAAGGAAAACAAAATCTATTTTTCTCTTAGGTTAACTACGTCAAGATTAATGTGTTCCACTTCTGCTGCCTGAGGTGGGTTTAACTCTTGGTTGTTTGTTTTTTTTTTCCCCCCCAACAAATGGATTTAAATGTCAAGTTGGGAGGGGAAGAGGGCTGAGGAGAGAAAAGAAGAAAGAAAAAGGATGTTTAGGAGCCTTTTAAATTTTCTGATGGTTGGCCGATTCTCTCAAGAAGAGGAAAGACGGTACTTTCTAAAGTCCCAGAAAATGAGAAAAATGGAGTATTCTAACAAAATGTAATTTGGCAAAGAGGCCCTTCCTCAGTTTTCCGAACAGACAGGAAATGTAAATTAATAATGAAGTTAAATAAGTGATGATGATAAATAATTATTAGTACCTCCTACCCCATCACTTCTTTGCTTTTGCTAGATACTAAACCTGACTCCCCAAATGCATTTTTTGGAAGGGCCCTCAACCATCCTGAGCAATGCAGGAAATAAGAGAAAGCTCATCTGCCTGGGCTGCTGCAGTTCTCCTCACAGCACAATGCAACCCAAATCATTTATAAACAGATCAAAATAACAATCTGAATTATCTAACATTAGCAGCTAAACTGAAAAGCCCAAGATTATGTGATGAATTGTTAAATTTCAGTAGCATTGTTTTGGATTGCTAATTAAAAAAAATAAGCAAACCCCATGACTCTAGATATGACAACTGAAAATACCCACAAATTATTTAATAAATGAAGCGTCTAACAACTTTAACACTTCTTGGTCGCCCTGTTAATAAATGTAATTTGAGGTAGATTTTTAAAATCTTCAATCTAAACAGTGAATTCATTACACACCATTCAGATCTCTGGATGCCTATGGACTTCTTGGAATTAGGTGTTAAATAGACAAAAGTGAACCAAACTGCCTTTAAAAGCACAGCATGACCATGTAATTCTTTTTCCAGTTTGTGGTAAAAAATGATGAAACTTCTTTCCAAGTAGCTATCACCCAGATTTAGTGTGAAAAGTAGTGTAATTGTAATTCACGCCATCAGGGTCTATCGCTGATAGACGATCAGCTGTTCTGTAGAGGGGAGAGGCTTTCTTTTCAAATAGGAAAGCTGCCAAGTGCTCTGCGATACCTCCAGCAAGCTTATCGGATTGAGTTCAGAGCCAAAACAGCAGCTGCACACATATGCAAATTGGCAATTAATAGTATAACATTCTGTAAAAAAAAAAATGTTTAAAAAAATTTTTAAAGAAGCTACCTGAACATTAACCTTAACTGTAACTGGGACTTCTAAGATGAATGACTAAGGATTAATTACCCTCTGGAGAGGACTTGCTCTTTAATACCTTCTCTCCTGCAGATCAAGTCTTTGTTGTCTTGCTGAGTTTTATCTGTTTCATGGAACACAACAATACGCTCTACAGGAAGAACTTTAAAATAACTAAAAAGCCCTTATATTTTGATTCCAGAAAATTGAGAAATTAAGTCCTTTCCATGGATCATTCTTTCTGTACACAGAGATCACAAAACAAGGGCTTTAGCATCCTCGTGAAAAAGACTTTTTGTTCTGAGTGTCATCATCTCCTTCCACTACAGCTTGCAATTGGAAGAAGCTTCACATCCTGGGGGTGCTGCCTATCTCTGTCTTGATTTCTGTCTGTCTCTTCCTCCCATTGACAGGAATGTCGTTTGTATCCTCCATGCAGCAGTTTGCAGAAATCCAGGAAGGTTTATGGTTTATGTTGCCCAGCATGTATAAACACAACACTCTCAAATGTTTTTTAAAAATCTTTGAATTTGTTAGATTTCTTAACATCATGGTCCCCCACCCCAATTTTCACACACTCAGTAATCTGTTGCCCTTGATACAGTCCTACAGTAGTTCTGACTAGAATTAGGTGGGTGGTCTAAGCCCCCAAAAGGGCCTGGCATTTACATAGCAGGCTTCCCCAATGCCTTCAGTCTTCCTCTCCCACTCTTCTTTTTCTCTTTCCCTCTAGCTCAGAGGAGGAGGGGATGTTGGGGGTAGGGGGTGATTAGCAAATGTTTCAGATAATCTGTGAATTCTTAATGATCATATTTCCATGGTGGAAGATCTCCCTATTTCTCTGATGTGACAGGTTACAGAAACCTTGGTGTTTGAGGTTTTACAGATATTTCCAAGTTCTAGGAGTTTTAACTTTGGGTCAAGATGTTGATTCCTTTTAATGTATGAGGGTGAAGGAGGTTTTATTTTGCTTTATTCTTTTAGATGTATGAGATAAGATTGTATCCAGTGTTGGCTGTAACCTATACCATAAATACAGAGTTACAACCATTATTGCTCTCTTTTTCTCCTTTTATCACCTACACTTCTGGAGATATTACTTTCAGTTTTATTGCAAATCAACTGTGTGTTTGGTTTAAACCATTATTTTTCATATACCGTAGGCACACTTTTCTTATAATGAGACAAATTTTACATTATTAATGTTCCATCTAAAAGGATACTGCACACTTTCATTGCCAATATGGGCTTTGAATCTTGAATATCAACATTTTTATAGGAAATTTACCCATGTCAAATTTAAATGTATTTGCTTATTTCTTGGAAAAAAGATTTTGGATAACTGTCAAGCGTTCAATTCCACTTGGGGTGCAGAAAATTTTGAGCCTCTTGATAAGCAGGAAACAAATTTTCCTCTAACTAACCAACTCTGGATCAGAAAATTGAACTTTTCTAAATATTTATTATTAACAAAACTTTTTTTTTGTCTGATTCCACTAGAAGGATCCTATGTTGTGAATGCCATAAAGGTATGAGAGAAAAAAGTGTCAAATCTAAATTTTATTTAGAAGTAAGATATTGCTTTTCTTGACTTGCAATCCAATTTGAATGCATTGTTACACTTTTCTGTTTTCTTATAATTAAATAACAATGGCTTAAAATGATAGTAACTCAATTGAAAAGTTGCTTTGGAATAAAACAAAAGCGGGAATGCCAACTTTCTTTTCTTCTCTATAACTTCATTAACATGGTTGTATAGACATTTGCATGTAAAATGCAGCTAACAAAAATTACACAGAAGTAAATTTAGTCCTCTAGTGCCTACCTCTATGGTGAAATCAGACCATTTGGCATAGTTTGAAGTCTTCCAAGAAGCCTGGTTTCCACCTGGAAAATAAATTACTAAATTTGAATGTGTTAACTTATACTATGGTGAGTTGTCTATCTGTTACATTTTATTTTAGTGCATATACTAGAAATTGTATTTAGGGTGTTCTAAAATTGTCATCTGTCAAGGTAGAGAATTATAATAATATAATTATACCCAAAAAGTGTTCTGACTTTATTTTGGCACTGTTACAAATATGATACATTTTTAAAAATTCAGAATGTTTATTACAAATTCATATGTTTAATTGTCAAATTTCGAGATTAATTTAGATAAGCTATAACCAAAGTTTATTTGCATTTATTGGTACCTAGTTAATGCTTATACACAGGCTTCAGTATAACACATACACACTGTTGCAATATTTGGCAGTACTTATTTGCTTTATCTTTAAATGGTACTTTGTCCCAAAATTTTATAAGAGTTTGATAAATATCAAACATTTATCCAATCACTGTTGCATTCTCCATTCATCAGTACATTCTGTTTTAAATCATAAACAGTTTGATTCTGAATTATAAGAAATATTTTGAGTAATCAAAGATTTAATGTTGTATAACATAAAGTATCATAATGAGATTATTGATGAGATGTCATGATCAGTAAAGACCATACTCAGTAAATTTACCCAGATAAAACTATGTGTTATAATGCTGCAAGTGCACACAGAGGGAGGAGATAAAGGTGCGCTATCATGGCTAAGTAAAAACTCCTTACCACAGGTAGTGATAAGAACAAACAATGTCTTGTTAAAATGTGTAGGCTTTTCCTCATCTCAAAGGATAGTGCATTAATCTCCTAAAGAAAGTAATTTTTCTCTCTGAAATGTATATTAAGTTAAATAACTACAACAATTATGGTTGTGGAACTTTATTTTCTCAAGCTCAGAAGCTTTTAAATTTACTACAATATACCCAAATGTATCTAATTACTATATCACCATTGTAATGATTAAAATTTTGATGTTTGTCATTTTTTACATCCTAAAGCACTTTGTGAATCCCGGTGATTATATAATGGATACCATCTTCTGTGGGAGTGAAAAGAAGAAAAACTTGATTCATACTTAAAGGTGCTATATTTGAGGAATGTGATGTTAAAATATTTTCTCTTAGCATAAGGCATTTGTTTTAAAGAATGTATGTGGAGGACCCAGGACATTTTCTATATAGTAAACTGAATGATGAACATTATTAAGGATGACAAATGGGAATAAATTTTAGAAAGTCATACCTCTAAGAAATTTACTTGAACACTGGATTAATAGTCTAAGAAGTGATGGTGATAGAATTATAATAATGTCTTGGTTAAGCCCTTTCTCTGTGTGCTAGACACTTCATGTACATTCGCTCACTCAGTCATTAATAATCACCTAATGAACCCAACATGATTTTGTTTTACTGATGAGAAAAATAAAGCTAAGTTTAAGTCACATAGCTTGTAATGGATGAGGCTTTATAGCTGTCAGACTCTAAAGTCTATCTTATGTGTTGTAGTTCCACTCTGGTTTCTGAAGGACAGAAACATGGAGGAGGTTTGAAACTCTTTCCTCTCTTAAAATTCTTATCTTTTCTTTACTAAATCCAAAACAGTAAGTGAAGTGGTCCAAGAATTTAGCAATGTAGTCAAGGTCCATTTGATTAGGAAGTCTTTATATGACTAGAAACAGGATTGCTTTGGCACATACATAAAGACTGGGAGATCTACACATCCATCCTCAAATTTAGCAATTTGAAGCAGTTAGCTACACGGACAGTTTTGTATGCATTGCTAAATGCAGACACAAAAACTGCATTTGCAAAAAGAGGAAACCCAGTTAAACTAGGTTGCAAATTTGGCCCTAATTTAGCGTAGCATTTGTGATACATATAGGTTAGAGTGACATTTATATAATGGTGTGAAATATGAGAAAGTTCCAATGCTAGACACAAAGACTTTTAAAAATTGCTTTTGCCTACTTTGGTTAGTTTAAGAAACAGGAGGAAGAATTTGGTTTTTCAAGTGATGGGAAGCCTTTAAGGATGTTGGAACACTGTTCAGTCCCCTGGGGTTCTGCCTGCTGTACAATTTTAAATGTCTTTTAGCTAAAAAATTGGCCAACAAGGGAAACAGAGAGATGAAATCTCTTCTTTCTTATCTGGGAAGTGAGAAACTATAGGTGGCTAACATAATCCAATTTTGATAATCAAATAAATGATCAGCTTTTGGGGTCAGAAATTCATAATCCTTCTTGTTAATATGTCTATCTAACTGGAGTAACTACCTATTAGAATTTATCTTGGAAATTTTGTCCCTATGCTCAGTTGTAGACGTGTTTCAGCTTAAGAAATACAGCCAAAAATGAGACTAGATAAATACACCATGTTTCGTGTAAATGCTACTATCATGGTACCTGAAACTATTTTCATTTCTTCATTGAAGACCACTGGAGGGCAGTGTTTTCTCCTTTGGGACCAGCACCTGGTTTTACATGGAGACTGCATAGATGTGTTCAAAACGCATCTGGGTTATGGGAAATGAGTTGTACTTCTCATTCAGGCTGTGCTTGGAATTTACCCCCTCCTGTTTACATGTCATACAGATTGTTCCTTATCATACTGCCTGTCAAATTAGTTGTACCTGAAATCAGATTCCAAAAGATCATGTTACAATACATATTTGCTGTTTTAGAGCTTTATACTCATTAACTATTTGAGGCATTATGTAAAGTTTATTTTGCTAATATAAATAGCAAATAAAAAAGGATATATGAGCAAGAGTAGGCAGTTTTAACCAGATGCTTTGCACTTAAAATTTCTTATTTTATTTAATTTTTTAATTTTTTTTTTTTTTTTTTAAAGATGGGGTTTCACCATGATGGTCAGGCTGGTCTTGAACTCCTGACCTCAGGTGATCCACCCACTTCGGCCTCCCAAAGTGCTAGGATTACAGGCGTGAGCCAGTGCGCCTAGCCTGCACTTAAAATTTCAATATTTTATTGATTTTATTTTTCAGGATAACTTTATTACATATAATATGTATACATATATTTGTCATCAAATCAGCAAATTTGCATTTTCTGGAAAGAACAAATAAAGACTTTTCTTAGAACCTTATTTGTCATATCTTATGATACCCTTTGTTCCCTAAGGAGGGTATATGGAAAAATATTTAGTTTCTTCTATTTTAAAATATGATCTATTGCTGAGTATTAAATTATAAAATTATACTAATTTGTGTTCCCATTAGTTAAAAATGAAACTGGGTTACATAATAATTTGGTATGTGAGGGAGGTCCATTTAATCTTTATTTAAAGGCATATGATGCAGATTGAATTATTTTAATTATAATAGTCATGTTTCATTGTTAAAAATGAAAAAATATATTTTAGCTCTTTGACTTGTACTTTTAGTCTAATGATTTACTTGATTTGTTTTTTCAATCAAGTGCCCAGAAGCTTACCTGGGACTTGGGCAAACTAAGGCAGAGCAGCCAATCACTTGAGGAAAAACACAAATAACAGATCTGTATTATAAATGCTTTTTAAAAGTATTTTATTTTTATAACATTATTTGTGATCACAAAAGTAATACATGTTCATTGTGGAAATTATGGAAATATCAAAAATAATTAAATAAAAATCATTACTCTGTTAATCTGTTAATCCTCTAGGGTATATCCTTATATATATATTTCTATGCACTAGTATGTATTAAAAATAATTAGGATATATAACATTACTCATTTATGAAGTGACGCTTCACTTAAAATATGTCACATTTTCCCATGTCAGTAAATACTAACTATAGTATTCCATAGTATAAATGCACCATAGTTTTATCTAACAAGTTCCCTAACACTATGTATTTGGTAATAGCCTTTTTTTTTTTTTCTTTTTGAGACAGTCTCATCTGTCACCAAGACTGGAGTGCAATGGTGCGATCTTGGCTCACTGCAGCCTCTACCTCCTAGGCTCAAGTGATTATCTTGCCTCAGCCTCCTGAGTAGCTGGGACTACAGGCACGCGCCACCACACCTGGCTAATTTTTGTATTATTTAGTAGTGATGGGGTTTCACTATGTTGACCAGGCTGGTCTTGAACTGCTGACCTCAGGTAATCCACTTGCCTCAGCCTCCCAAAGTGATGGGACTACAGGCATGAGCCACCATGCCCAGCCAATAATTACTAATTTTTCTATATCATTAACAATGCTATGGGAATATCTCTGTAGACAAATATTTGCATACATGTATAATTACTTCCTCCAGGTAAATTTTTAAAAGGGGAATTTTATGGTCAAAAATATTTTTTTAAATAGGTTTTAATAGGCTGAAGTGCCTTCCAAAATGGAAGTAGATGAGATTTTCTATTTATCCGTATCTTCACCAACACTAAATGTTATCAGGTTTTTAATGATGTCTAATTTGGTGTTTGAAAACAAAATTGTTCTTTTAGTTATTTTGCTTACTTGAAAAGTTTAATAATTTCATATATTTGTTTATCATTTACATATTGCTTTATAGTGTACTTATTCCTATACAATATCCATTTTTTTCTGTTGGGATGTTTGTATTTTTAAAATTTTTATATAGAAGTTATTTATGTAAAATTAGCATAGTAACACTATGCCATACATCTTACAAGTATCTTTCTAAGCTAAACTTTATCATATTTTGTTAATTACTTTTTCACTTTTAAATTGTCAATTTCTAGAGTGTTTTCATTAAAATATCTACCTTTAGTGGTCCATTTAGAAAATCTTCCTCACGGCCAGGCTCGGTGGCTCACGCCTGTAATTCCACCACTTTGGGAGGCCAAGGTGGGTGGATCACAAGGTCAGGAGTTTGAGACCAGCCTGGCCAACATGGTGAAACCCCGTCTCTACTAAAAGAAATACAAAAATTAGCCAGGCATGGTGGTTTGCACCTGTAATCCCAGCTACTGGGAAGGCTGGGGCAGGAGAATTGCTTAAACCTGGGAGGTGGAGGTTGAAGTGAGCTGAGATTGTGCCACAGCACTCCAACCTGGGTGACACAGCAAGACTCCATCTGGGAAGAAAAAAAAAAAAAAAAGAAAATCTTCCTCACAAAAGGTTAGATAAATAATTTTATTATTTTTAATTTACTTCTTTTTTATTCAGACAGAATCTTCCTCTGTCGCCCAGGCTGGAGTGCAGTGGGACGATCATGACTTACTGGAGCCTCGACCTCTTGGGTTCAGGTGATCCTCCAGCCTCAGCCTTCAGAGGAGCTGGGACTACAGGGAAGCATGACTACACCCTGCTAAAATATTCACTTTTGTTTTCTCCTACATATTTGATGATTTTTTTTTGTTTTCATTTTGTGTATTTAATGCTTTAATATGTCTGCAATTTATTTTATCATGTGAGGAGAGGATTTGATCTTTTTTTTGTTTGAACTGTTAAGCAATTGTCCCTGTTTATTGAATAATATACTTCTTTCCTACTGATTTTAAGATTTTTGAATTTAGCTGAAAGCTTTAACTTCTAGGGTCCTCTCCTGAGATTAATTTCCACTCCACTGATTTCTCTATTCTTCTACCTTTATCCAATATTTTAATAATATAGTCATATATCTGGTATTGCAAGTCCTTCAGTAGTTTTCCAAAATTTTCTCTGTTATTCTTTTTTTTTTTTTTTTTTTTTGGGACGGAGTTTCCCTCTTGTTACCCAGGCTGGAGGGCTGGAGTGCAATGGCGCGATCTCGGCTCACCGCAACCTCCGCCTCCTGGGTTCAGGCAATTCTTCTGCCTCAGCCTCCTGAGCAGCTGGGATTTCAGGCACGCGCCACCATGCCCAGCTAATTTTTTGCATTTTTAGTAGAGACGGGGTTTCACCATGCTGACCAGGATGGTCTCGATCTCTTGACCTCGTGATCCACCCGCCTCGGCCTCCCAAAGTGCTGGGATTACAGGCTTGAGCCACCGCGCCCGGCCTTCTCTGTTATTCTTGACTATTCTTTCATTTTATACTGAATTACATTAAGTTAAAAAAACATTCACTTAAGAACATGTTTTGCTGTGAAAAAGTACTCAAGCTATATTAAGTAAAAAAAGCAAATTGTACAACAATATATATATTAGCGCTCTTAAAATTAAAAAATGTCAGAAAAAGTGTAGAAATGTGTGTGCATGTCCATGTGTATGTGAGGCTGTTCCTTATTGATACATACAAACATTCTGGAATATTGGTCAAAAAAGTATTAATAATGGTTAGCTTTGGTGAGTGGGAATGGACATTGTGGAGAACAGGAACTTTTGCTTTTTACTATAAAGAATCTTCTGCCGGGCGTGGTGGCTCAAGCCTGTAATCCCAGCACTTTGGGAGGCCGAGGCGGGTGGATCACGAGGTCAAGAGATGGAGACCATCCTGGTCAACATGGTGAAACCCCGTCTCTACTAAAAATACAAAAAATTAGCTGGGCATGGTGGCGCGTGCCTGTAATCCCAGCTACTCAGGAGGCTGAGGCAGGAGAATTGCCTGAACCCGGGAGATGGAGGTTGCGGTGAGCCGAGATCGCGCCATTGCACTCCAGCCTGGGTAAAAAGAGCGAGACTCCGTCTCAAAAAAAAAAAAAAAAAAAAAAAAAAAAGAATCTTCTTAGGCAGTTTGGATTTTCTACCATGAACAAGCATTAGTCATAAAATTTTTGTAAATATCTTTGAAAAAACTTTCAAAAAGATTAATAAAAAGCTACTTACACACAAAAGGACAAATACTGCATAATTCCATTCATCTGAGGTACCTAGAGCAGTCAGATTATAGAGACATCAGGTAGAGTGATGGTTGCCAGGAGCTAAGGGAAAGGGACAATGGGAGTTACTGTTAAAGGTGTACAGAGGAGTCTGCTTTGCAAGATGGAAATGGTTTAGAGATGAATTGTGGTAATAATCGCACAGCAATGTGAATGTACCTAATGCTACTGAACTGTACACCTAAAAATGATTAAAATGATAATTTTTATTTTATGTATATTTTACCACAATTTTTTTAAAGCTGTTTACAATGATTTGCCTCTGGGGAGTTGGATTGAGGAGTCAGGATGTAGGCCAAGGACAATATTTTTCACTTAATACCTTCTGCATGGCCTGAATTTTTCAGGAGAAGCCCATGTTATTGTCATAATAAAAAATTTTTAGGACTCTCTCTAGACCTATTCTGATTCAGAGGACTGCCCAATTAAAAGAAAGGTAATGTCATAGCTAATTTAAAAACGTATTGGAAATCCTAAGCAGAATTACATTAAATTTATAAATGATGGGACAGCTTTAAAATATTGTCAGTTACTCTTATAGAAATAGTTTTCAAAAATTTTTGCGATCCTTTGAAAAATTTGATATTTCATCATATGGGTCCTACACAGGTTCTGTGGTTTATTAGTTTATCCCTGGGTTTTTTATATCTGTATCACTATCTATAGATTGATAGAGATATGTATAAAACCATATCAATTGCCTAACTGCTATTCTTTGTAAAGTTAATTTGTCTCATTGAAGACTTTTTCTAATTTTTTTTCCTCTAAATAACTGAAGGAAACTGTTAATTTTTATAATTTTCTTGACTTTAATCTTAAAAATAATCCAAAAGTAATTGGTCCATTCAAGTTGGTCAGTACAGGTTCAAGCTAAAGTTATTGGTTTGTGTAGAAATATTAAGAATTTAGCCAATGTAACTGTTTTTTGTTTATGTGATTTTTTTTTAAATCATGTAAACATGGCTCAAGAAAATATGTATTATAAAGAATATTCTATTAATATAAATGACTGCACAGCATAATACCTGTCACTCTCTGAAAAGGAATGCAAAGGAGTAATGAACGAAAAATAATTATTAGTACAATAGGATTTCCATGAATAATTTATGAGAGCTAGACAAGGAGGAAACAATAGGTATCACCCATTTTGAGTCCTATAAACTTTTCCATATTTGCAGAAGATATTGCTTGTATGTATTTTTTCATTTCAAAAAGGAAAGTGTTTTGCTTTTATTTCTGACTATATATTATTATTGTAGAAAGCATTCAATATTATAGACTAAAAGTATTTTCTTATATGAAGATCAACCATAAACCTATCATCCAGAAAAAAATTCCATAGTTTTTTGCCTATTCCTCAAGAATTAATTATATTAACATATATTTCACATATTTATAAAAATGAGACCACACTGTACATACAGTTTTATAGCCTCCTTTTTCCCCTTAATATGTAATCACTGCTGTCTTTTAATGTCCATTAATACAGATCTTCATAATTCTTAATGGCTACTGTTAAAATGAATATTTTATTTTACATCTATTCTATAATTTATTTGATCAATCCTCTGTTAATATTTAGGTAGTTTCAAGTTTTTTACTTTGAATATTGTAATACATCTTTTCACATTTGACAAGATTATTCCTTAAGAAATGGAAATGCTAGATCAATGAGTCTGCATAAGACAAAAGTCTTAAAATTAAATGCAAAAAAGTTAAAATATGTGTTATTGCTCAACTGTCCTCCAAAAGAGGTCATAGTCATTTTGCTCTCACAGCTTTTCTACACTGGTTTTTCTTATTTTTTATTTTCAAATTCTGCAAAGTTTCAGAATACATTGTGTTAATATTATCTTAAAAATAATTTACATCCCAATAGGTTGGAAATTATATTTTATTCTTTCTTTTAATTTCCAGAATTTAATTACTAATGAAGTTTATCATGTTTCCATGTGTCTATGGGCTATTATCGTACTTCTGCTCTGAAGTATATATCTTATTATTATTGGCTTGTAAACACTTCTCAAAGATTACAAATATTAATTTTTTATTTGTGATATGTATTTTTTAGTATGTCATTAGTCTTTTTACCTTATATCATTTTCATCATACAAAGTTTTTATGCATTCCAATTAATGTCTTTGATATCACTCTTAGACATTCTTTATAACAAGATTAGTGAGAAAAAATTCTGTATTTTATTCTAATTATATTATCTTTATATTTTCATATTTTTCATTTATATCTCTAACCTACTTAGAGTTTCTTTTTTAAAAGTATACATTAAAGATTTAACCATATTTCTTCCAAATGGTTAGTTACTATCCCCACACCACTTCTGAGCAATCCATATCTTCTCCATGAAATTCTTGGATACATTGTTACCTAGTTCCGGATTTTCACCTCTGTTTCATTGATCTTAGCTGTGTAATTCCAAGGTATTGTTCATTGATCTCTGTGTAATTCCAAGGTATTATTCAGGTTTTTCTGCAATAGTGCTTTGTAACAAACACTTCCTCAAATCTCAGTGGTGTACAACAACAAATATTTCTTTCATGGGTATCTGGGTCAGCTGTCACACTGCAGTGTTCTTTGGGACACAAATGGACCCTGCTCCAAGCTACAGGTCAGATTTGAGTGCTACACATTTTTTCTTTTTTTTCAGGCTGTAATAACAGCTTCCTGGAACAAATTCTTCTTGTAATGTATGGTAAGAGTACAAAAAGGCTGGTGAAACTTGCCATAGTCTTAAACCTCAACTCCAACACATTCTTTTTTCTATCCACACTGCATTGGTCTGAAGATCACCCAATCTACCCTAAGTGAATGGGAAAGAAGAGTGCATTGTCTCCACAGGGAAGGCTTGTCAAGGACAAGAGAATGAAGAACTGTAAGCAAATAATAATATCTACCACCCTGAGCTAGTTATATTTTCTAAGGCTCAGTTTCCTCAGTGTCAAATGGGATAATTGTGAAGATTCAACTATATAGATGATAAATGTCAAACATATTGTTCCTTGTATTTAGTCATTCAAAAATTGTGTATCTGCTTCCTAACAGTATATCACTTAAATTACTGTCATTCTGTGATACATATACATATATACAGAGAGAGAGAGAGGAGAGAGAGAGAGAGAGAGAGAGAGAGAGACGGAGTCTTGAACTATTGCCCAGACTGGAGTGCAATGGTGCAATCTTGGCTCACTGCAACCTCCACCTCCTGGGTTCAAGTGTTTCTTCTGCCTCAACCTCCCAAGTAGCTAGGATTACTGGCATCATGCCTGGCTAATTTTTGTATTTCTATAGAGATGGAGTTTCATCATGTTGGCCAGGCTGGTCTTGAACTCCTGACATCAGGTGATCTGCCTGCCTCGGCCTCCCAAAGTGCTGGGATTACAGGCATGAGCCACTGTGCCGGCCAAGATTTTTAAATATGTAGAAGGGCAGGTTAGCTCCTACCCCTATCACTCTTTCTTTTAAAGGATTTTTCTGACTATTCTCTACCATTTTTTCCTCTAGATAAATAAATAGATTTTAGATTCCATCACATATGTTCATCTTTTTAATAAGTGAGGAAAATATCTTCTCAGTCATACTACTTTTAGACTGATGAGCAAGTTGTTCCACAGCCTTACCAAGAGGAGGTTGAGGAATGACTTGGAATCCATAACAATCAACATATTTTCTGTTTATTCAAAAAATTCAAAACTATACTGCACCAATTTGCAAATGATATTTAATAAATTGGAGTGGTTAGTATCCTGGAAAAATAAACTAAAATTTAAATTAGGATAAATAATATTTTTTAAATGAGGCTCAAAAGAAGCAAATGTGAGATGTACTCATAAACAATAACATAGAGAATTGTGCAGGAATGTCTAGGCAAACAGCATAGAAGAAAAGACTTCAGGGTCTATCTAGACTGCATGAACAGTCCTCAAGGCATCTGTTTCATGTGTTTTTGTTTTGTTTTGCCTGAGATAGGGTCTGGCTTTGTTGCCCAGGCTGGAGAGTGATCTCCATGCACTGCAACGTCTGCCTCCCAGATTCAAGCAATTCTCCTGCCTCAGCCTCCTGAGTAGTTGGGATTACAGGTGCGCGCCACCATGTCTGGCTTAGTAGAGATGAGGTTTCTCCTTGTTGGTCAGGCTGGTCTGAAACTCCCAACCTCAGGTGATCCGCCTACCTTGGCCTTCCAAAGTGCTAGGATTACAGGTGTAAGCCACTGTGCCCAGCCTGTTTTTACCTGTATTATCATAAGAAATATTTTAAATAATGAGTAAGGAAGAGATATGCTGACATATAATGAGAACTTGCCTTCCTAAAAAAGTAAATTTTTAAAATGTTACAAATGCTTAAACTTACTTGTTCAGTCTCACTAGATTTCAGCTACAGGTTTTGCTCTCCACTTTAAAAAATCCTGAATATATAAACCAAGTCTTTCATTATTTTTCTCTGAAACATACCTTAGTCTTAACAGAAATCTTGCTTGACAAGAGGAAAGTTTTTCATGGTTGAGGCCTGAGGTCATCTCATTTAAGGCCATTTTAAGCTGACTTCTAATATTAAGATAGTTAAGGAGAAAATATAGACATCACTTATCTCATATGGCCTCTACAGAATCTGATCTGGTCAGCAGAATAACTGCAAATAAAAGCATTACATCCTAAAGTTTACTGTAATTTTCTCTTTTCCCCCTACTCCTCACCTTTTCTTTTTTTTGAGACAGAGTTTCACTCTGTTGCCCAGGCTACAGTGCAGTGGTGTGATCTTGGCTCGCCGCAACCTCCACCTTTCAGGTTCAAGCAATTCTCCTGTCTCAGCCTCCTGGTAGCTGGGATTCCAGATGTCACCATGCCCAGCTGATTTTTATATTGTTAGTAGAGATGGGGGTTCACCATGTTGCCCAGGCTGGTCTTGAACTCATGACCTCAAGTGATCCACCCCCTCGGCCTCCCAAAGTGCTGGGATTATAGGTATGAGCCACTACGCCTGGCCAAATTTATTGCTATTTTCTGAATGAAAAGGTATTATACTAATAAGATGGAACAAAATCTAGTGATAGTTACCGCTTTAACGATTCAGATTCAGAAATAGCCACTTATCCTCCCAGGAAGAAAAGTTTTTAACTCAACAAGTAGAAAATAAAGCTGCTTTCATACATTTTTCTATAAATGCTTCAAAGAAAG